AAATTATAACTCATTAAAGAGTAATGCATGCTAATTAAATTGGAATGCATAAATAATAATCCATCCTAATGACACTATAATGCATTAAATAATTGTAACCCAAGGGGGCCTGATCCTGCAAAGGAGAACGTGCAGGGAAAGCGTTCCTGAGAGCAGTGAAGAAAACTCACCCTGACCACGCAACCTTACGCGAGAGCTGTCTCATTATACGTTAAATCCCATGTGTTTTAAAATACAGAGAAGCACTGAATCAACGTAAACTTCAAAAATGGTCTTCCATATTTCTGTATGCAACACTTCCTAAGAATAAACCCTTTAGTCATGCTCCAGAAATTTGATGAGTAGTCCAGAGCAAAAGCCGAATTGTTGTGGAAAATGCAAATAGTGCTCAGTGCCATGATCACGGCAGGGTGTGTAGGGCCTGCAGAAATGGGAATATTAACTGTTTGACACTCTCCATTTGTAAATAATGGGAGAAAACCAAAACAACGACACTTGTGCACTTCATTTAGACAAATCAAAGAACAAAGCAACCAAATGCACAGCTCTTGCTTACAGAAATATATTTTTAATCTGCCAGTGGATTTGTAAGAGCACACACAAATGATAACTCAGGCTTAGAACACACAAGAATATTTTAGGGAAAATAAATCCATATATACATGTCCAACAATGTATCATGCACTATTTGCAAACATACCCACTAGTTCTGTGGAGCCACCTGTTTCGTTTTGAAAACTTATTGCAAGCAATTGGAATAGACGTTTATTCAAAGTAGCAATGGAAGAGATTTGGCATTAATGAAGTTCTTAATTATGGTTCCCCAAAACTTTTTTACACAGTGCACGTCCAGCACATTAAAACCAGGATCTTCAGCAGATTAGTGGGAGTTACACACACAGCTGCTACCATCGAAATTCATGCACAATTTTCTTGGGCTCCCCTGTAATCCCAGTCTAAGATTAATAGATATGACATCAAAGCAGTGATATCAATCTGGAAAATCAATTCAGTTCTGGAAAGTTTCATCTGGAAGAAAGTTGACAGTCAGCAAGAAGGAGCTCTGGCACCAGATCTGTGCTGGGAAACCCGGTTACAAAATTGAAACGCCAGCTTTAGAAACAGGTTTCATCATTGGACATCTTTCCTTACAAAGGCCACCGAGGCAGGACTTGAGCTCAAAAATAAACCCACCCAAACAACAGACACCTGGAGAAATGGTAAAGAGGGAGAGAGAAAGCAAACTCCCCTACATCACCTTCCTCTTTAGCACTCACCAGAGGAGAAAATCCTGATTTCACAGAGAAGGATCCAGCCGGCCACGGAGGGGGCAGCAGCAAAGCCCCCCCAAGAACTGCAGAGCCCCGTTGAGCCCCAGTTTTGACACCCCGAGGATGGAAAGCCCCAGCCACCCCGCCAGCGAGGCGTTCCAAACGCATGTGATTGCTGCTAGAGCTCCCCGACCCGTTCAAAGAGACACTGTGATCCTTTAATAACCCAAGTCAGCTCCCAGATTAAAAGCCTTTATATAAAGCTCACAGCACAGATCTGTTTGAAGTGATTTACTCCCTACAAACAGCAGTTCAAGGAACTACAACTTAAGCGACCAGCTAAAAATATTGGGTTTTTTTCTGATTCATTTACTTTGACAGGACTTCTGTAACAAGTTTCATTATACTCGCTTCCTACTTAAGTGTCCAGCCCAGCAACAGAAGAAAGTAAAATGTTTTAGAGTAAGGACATATAAATCTACCAGCTGGGAGAAAGGAAACACATGAAACTGCTTTAAAATCTTCAAATTACTAGACTCCAAGGTACCAGTGCTAAGGATACAGTGATACAAATATATAGAAAACTATTTTAAAAAATCTGGTTTAACTGGCATTTAGCTCTGCTTTTTTTCCTAAAAAGACTCACACTAGTAGATATAATTTAACATTCTCTACTAATCTTAAAGATGTATGACTGCTTAAATACATACAGAATATTGTTCAAAAGACAGATTCTCGTCCTTTTTTCACATGCAAAAGGAAGAATTTATGTATTTTACCACTTTTTACCCCCACTCATGTTTTGTTAAGTGTCAACTGCATAGAATTAAAGTAAATGCAAGGGTTTAAAAGCAGTTTGATAAAAAGACATGACCTTAAACTTGCTGAATGTGTAATCAAAGAGACTGGAGCTCTTCAAAGCACGTTATGGGCTTAAAATTCAAGAAGCAAGGGAATCCTACCTGTTGGGAGGGAACTGTACTGGCTCGTTATCCAGCTCCACATCTTTCTGTGCTTTAGAATTCAGATTTCTCACACCTTAACATACACAAGGAAAACCTTTCTCTACTATCAGTTTCTCTTCTTCAAGAAGAATTCACTAAAAGGAAAAGCTTTCAAGAATAGGCAATAGGATGCTCTCTCTGCATTTGCAGCACAGGCTACTGAGCTCAAAAAACTCTATTCCAGGCATTTAACTAAAAAAAGCTTCTTCAGAAGCTCAGACTTTCTTTTAAATTTTCATTTCAAAAGCAACCTGCTTGAAAAGATCACATCTAGACTGGCTGACAAGCAGACTTTTAAACCCTCTTCAGGATGAAACTGCAAACTATTTGCAAAGGGTGTCAACGTTTTGTAAGTTCCGAAATTAACTAGAATTCTGGTGCTTTGGAGCACGCTTTGGGCTGAGTGCCACGCTCTTCAGCTCTCCTATAAATAACGGACACACTCTCATCTTGGTATCGAAGTACAAATGCAAGATGTAAACAAAACCAGACATAAGTTTCCTAAAATGTTCTGGTTTGAACATCCCCAGCATTTACATTAGGGCATTTGATCTTTTAAAGAAGATATTAAAACCGACAGCATCTCCCCTAATAGCCTGACTGCAGTAACTGGAACAGGGATACAATTTTGTTTTGACTCACTGATACTGCAGGTGTAGAAGAAATTCACGTTACAGTAGGATTGCTTCATGCTAAAGGGTGGGTACTGCAGACAGGGAACTTTCCCAGGAAGAAAAAAAAAAACCCTGTCTAGAAGAAACTACAAATTTTTCACAAACAGTCTCTGATACCAGGACTTTATTTCCCCTGTTTAGAAAGTCCAAGTTCCTACTTTGTTTCTTTTCACCAAAACCAGACGTACAGAGACAGTAAGAATTTGTAAGAGCAGCACTAATCCACCAAGTTTTACGCTATTTGTATGTTAGAATGATGAAAACACCTGTAGAGTTTTAAAGAAATCCCTTTGGTTAAGCTGCCACAGCTCTACCTCACGTTTGGGTGGATGCTGGCTGGAGTCAAGGTGCTGTTTTGTGGTGAGCTCAGGTGATGAGGAGCAGCAGGGCGCTCTCCACGCTTCCCAAGACACGCTGGAAAGCAACTACTGTGAAGAGGAGGAGGCTCAGGAGTAAAGAGCAGAAAATCCAGAATTCTTCAGACAGGCGATTAGTGGTTTTTATGCCGGCCACAAGACTACTTAGCTGCCTTCAGCGGCTTTTAATACAAGTGACACAGGGACCCAAACCAAATGCAGACCATTACCCCACACCATCACTAAATCTATTCTTGAGGAAAAAAAAACCACGACTCAGATGAGTGCCTGCGTTACTCCTATCGCAGTACTGCCCAGCACCAGAGATGCAGACCAGAATGCCATCATGTTCAGAGTTACAGAATCATAGAATGGTTTGGGTTGGAAGAGACCTTAAAGATCATCCAGTTCCAACCCCCTGCCCTGGGCAGGGACATCTCCCACCAGACCAGGTTGCTCCAAGCCATGGCCTTGAACCCCTCCAGGGATGGGGCAAATATAGACTGGTCCTCACCCTTAGAAGCAAGTGACACTGGGCAGAACACCATTGCTCCTTCCCTGCCCCACCAGCCTTGATGTAACCCACTCCTAGAACATCAGGGGTGTCCTACCGGAGACTGATGGGCTGGGGACCACCCTCCTAAGCAAAACGCACCATAAAAAGGTAAAAATCCTCCCCCGGGAGAGGCTTAGGGGTTTTCCCACGCAGTTTATCATCCCATTTACGCAGCGAGCAGCTGTTTCTCTCTCTCTTATGAAAACACGGGCTGACTTTACCCTCATCCCTCACAGAAATCTGACCGACAGCGGGTCAGAAGCGCCTCGACGGGGCGGGGATGGCCGGAGAAGGAAGGGGCAAGGGGAAGGGATGGAAGGCCGCCCCTTCTTCCCCCGCACCCCTCGGAGCAGACCGCTAATGGCAAGCGCTGGCCAAAGGCAGGGAGTCGGGGAAGGAGGAGGAGAAGCAGCCTGTGACAGGAGGCGGCCAGCCGGCCCGGGGACACACCGGCACCTGGCCGCATCTCCACACAAAGGAGGACCCGAGGGCAGGCCAGGAGCAGGGGCACCGTGCGGAGGTGGGCCTGCGGCGGCCGACCCTGCCCTCAGCCAGGGGGTCGCCATGAGGAGCCCCGGAGGCCCCTTCCCGCCTCCGCCCCGCCGTGACGGGTTGTGGGGGGGGATCCCGCAGGGCCCAGACGCCCTCAGGCTGCCCCAGGAGACGGCAGCCGGGGGTAAGCGGTGCGGCTACCCGGGGAGAGGGGCCTGCGGGCGGGGAAGGGGCGCTTCCCGGGGGCGGCGTGAGGCGCAGGTGCCGCCCGTCCCTCCCTCCCTCCCCACCGCCGCCGGA